TTTTCTGTTGATCACGAAGTCAGCTTTTCTGTTGATTACAATGTGAGTTATTATATTGAGTATTAAGAGGAATATATTACTGAAATATTATATTTCATTACTGTTAATGAAAGGATTAAATGATTTCAGTAAAATGTAATTTAAAAAAATCACGAAATTATATTTAACGGTTAGGTAGCAAATAAATAAAAAAAAATATTGATATAATATATATTCCTGAAAACTGCAGATTCATCAAGATCTAATATTAGTAGTACTGCAGGCAACCATGAGTTCGAAGAAGTGTCTATATTCAGTGTTATTACTGTGCGCTATGCAAGCAAAGAGTCGCATTTGTATACTCTTATCTTTGTACACTATGACCAAAGATAAGTGTTTTTAGTGTTACTCCTGCGCAATGCTTGATCAAAGTGTGGAGTTTGTTTGTGTGGCTTGCGTAATCAGAGAATTCTGTTGGTGTATTATTACTCCTGTACACGGCGTAATCGAAGAAATGTGTATATTTGACAGTTATCCTTAAGCCAGTATGAAATAGTTACTACAAGCTCGTGATATTTCTGAAAGTCATGTGTTACTCCTGTACACGGCGTAATCGAAGAAATGTGTATATTTGACAGTTACTTCCTTACGCCAGTATGAAATAGTTACTACAAGCTAGTGATATTTCTGAAAGTCATGTGTTACTCCTGTACACGGCGTAATCGAAGAAATGTGTATATTTGACAGTTACTTCCTTAAGCCAGTATGAAATAGTTACTGCAAGCTGGTGATATTTCTGAAAGTCATGTAATCGAAAATTGATTGAAATTTGTAATACTCCTAATAGTAATATAATAAAAAAGCTATGTGCACTATGAAAAAATAAAATTATCATTATGACAATTACTATGTATATAAAAATAGGAAAAATCCCAGTATATGAGACAGCTTAAAAACATTTTTGAAAGTATTAGGTAGTCAAGAAATTAATGTTGCGTTTTGGAACACTTTCATTAACCACCCCTCAAAAAACGTACATCACATATAATAGTTAAACGAACCAATCACCTAAACGTCACGTTAGTGTAGCCTATAAAATGTGTAAAGTTTAGTATACTCTAATCCCTAATAGTGATGGCACACAAGGAGACACACATTCGGTATGTAATGCTGTTTGAATACAAGAAGGGAAATAACGTCTCTGTAGTCTAACCTAAGGCAACACTCTCGTGAAATGGCCCTGAAATTGCATGTCTCCCATGAAACAATACGTAAACATCCAAGGAATATGGAAAAACTCCATAGAGAAGGTGTTTGGGTGCCTCATAAACTGTCCGATGATCATCATTTCCAATGTGTGAATGTTGCTTCGTCTCTTCTGGTGCACAATTTGCATGAACCATTTTTGGACAGAATTGTCACCGGTTATGAAAAATGGATTCTCTATGCGAATATTATGTGCCAAAAATAATGGCTCAGTCCTAGACAAAAATCACTTCCGACCCCAAAACCTGGACTCCATCCGCATGTGATGCTTTGCATTTGGTGGGATATCAAAGGAGTAATTCATTTCGAACTCCTCAATCCACAGCAAACTGTCAATGCAGAGATCTATAGTCAGCAACTGGAACATTTAAATCAAGCCCTTCATCAGAAACACCCTTCACTCGTCAATCGGAAAGATGTTCTTCTCCACGACAATGCACGTCTACATGTGACATGTTCGACGCAACACAAGATTATGGAGTTGGGTTGGGAAGTTCTCCCCCTCCCACCATATTCTCCAGATATGGCACCACTAGATTACCATCTTTTTCGTTCACTGCAACAAAATCTTAATGAGAAAACGTATACAAATGTAGAAAGTGTTAAAGAGGAAATCGACATGTTTTTTGCTTCAAAGACAAGTGATTTATTTAATTAGGGCATTAACAACCTTATTGTAAGTTGGAAAACCATCATCATTAAGAACGGAGACTATAAATGTGTTGCTCTGATATATAAGTTGTTCTGGTTTTTTTCATCTAAAAAAGCAAAATTAATTTCTTGACGACTTAATATATATAATGTTCAAACTGTGATACAACAACAATAATACATATCACATCTGTATAATGTTCAAATGTGATATAACAAAATGATACAAATACTGTCTCTGTAATGTTTGACATTTCAAATACTAAGACTTGTAGCAGAACAAAAATATTTTTATCAAAAACCCATGAAGTTACCTTGTCTCTCAAGTTTTTACAAAATGCCATGTCTGGATCCAGGAGACCACTAATGAATGAAGGGTAACTTTCTTTTTTCTTCAGTAAGGAGCCATGAATGAGGTAGGCACCAGAGATGAAGGGTACATTCCACACTAACAATGGATCTATATGAGATAATGATCAATGTGTACAAGGTAACAATGGATCTATATGTTCAAACTGTACAAAATATCAATGAATTTGTACATTAGATTACATTATATATATTCTAGTCTAAGGGTGATTTGTTGTGGTTTTAGATTACTCAGTTTTACTCATTTCTGACTATAGATGGACCTTGTACAGATTGATCATTATCTCATACAGATCCATCATTACTTTGTACAGATTGATCATTATCTCATATAGATCCATTGTTACTTTGTACACATTGATCATTATCTCATATAGATCCATTGTTACCTTGTACACATTGATCATTATCTCATATAGATCCATTGTTACCTTGTACACATTGATAATTATCTCATATAGATCCATTGTTACCTTGCACACATTGATCATTATCTCATATAGATCCATTGTTACTTTGTACACATTGATCATTATCTCATATAGATCCATTGTTACTTTGTACACATTGATCATTACCTCATATAGATCCATTGTTACTTTGT